CAGACACTAAAGGGGCTGGGTGGTTGTGGCCATTTTTAGACTATTTTGATCTCCTTTAGAAGAAGAGCTCCATATAAAGATATAATAAAATGATCAAATATTAAAACTAAAACTGATAGTTGACAGCTTAAGATGTCATATCCCAAACTTTAAGTTATATCTGGTGGTTAATAAAAAATAATTTGTTGACCCCCTATCCTCTTTAAAGTGAAATTATAATTAGACTTTGGACTATAACACGTGTGTTGGGGGTCCAAAGTAGTCAGTATTCCTGCCTATGTTATCTCGTAGTTTCATTTCCTTATCATGTACCTTTGCAATCCATGAGAACAATACATTTATATATCGCATTCAATGTAGTCACGTATCTTTCCATGAGCAATTCTGTATAATAAATGGCAAATGTGTTTTTCTAGGGTTTCTTTGTTATGGTACCTACCAGAAGACGTTGACTTTTCAAGCAAGATGTTCTAAATTCATAATTAATCTCAGAGGACACAAAGCACATAAAAAATGTACCTCCTCCAACCCTATTTTTCTGACTATTAAATATCTATTCTCCTCGGAAAAGTACTCCTTTGTACCGCTGACAATATCAAAGGAAGTCTATTCTTACGTCCATTCGTGTTATCACGTTCAAGGATAATTTACAGACAGATGGTGAAGATAGCAAAGGAAATTATAGCGTTTGTGTTCTTGAGAGGATTTGGTTCTATAAATTTGATTTTCTTTTCAAGGGGCATTTCCATATCTTTCTTCGTTCTATGCATGGTATTTTAGATACTGCATGTACGAAGATAGTTTAGGATAAACTATATCTATATTTTTTATCAGGTATTTTGACAAGTTTCAGGGATATTAAAATATATATTTGTCATAGCTATCTTTAAAAAATATGTCCCCTAATTTACCCCTATCAAAGAAAAATGAACAAGAGAAAAAAAAAACGTAATTGTAGAGTTCTATTTAAAGATGCAAGTTTGAAAACATAATACCTAATTCTGTGTCAATACTCTTTTGGTTATTTATCTGCATTGTGATGATTTTTAAAATGTCATTGGATTAAATTGCCCAGTAGTTTGTAACCAAACCCTTAGTTTTATACGTTTCTGATAAAGTTCTTTTAAGATCACATATAACATATGTTTTTTTTATAGATATTGCTTAGTACGTGAGTGCATTTTGTGTAAGAGATATGAGAAGTTAAAACTTTTTTTTAATCAAGAAAATTTACGAATATATTGTAAAATGTATCCTCGCGCATTCATTATTTTCAAATCACAGAGAGTAGGGGATTCTTTGGAGGGTCACATATTTTTTCATAAGAATAAAAAAAAAGGAATAAAACAGGATTTTTTTTCAGAAATAAAAACAAAACACCGGAGCCAAGTTAACTGAATTTATTATTTTGTTTTGTTTTTTATACTCTCAAGTTTTAAATTCAAATTTCAACCCTTTCAGCCTTTAACCCTTTGTCTGTCAAAATCTTTCGACAAAACTAAAACAATTTCTGAAACTCTGTCATTTGAAAGATCATTTAGGCGTTTTTCGTTATGTCCGTTAAATTAAGTTACAAAATTCAATGTTTTTTATAAAGACTTGAGGAATGTGAATCACTTAAATAAAACGTCAATTATTTAAACTTTTAAAGTGTCTTTTACAATTCAAACGTGCTTTACTAAGAGTCCTTTAAAATCCTTTTGTTGTTGTTATGATAGTTCTTTCTATTTCAGGTTTTCTTGACTTGAAAAAAAATGTAGAGGAAATGGTAAGCATAAAAATGAGACTTCCATTTATTTACAAAATGATTTATGAAAAGTGTTGCTCAAGCTTTGATATCGATTGTGTTAATTTCCAATCAATAGCAACTTTTAATCTAGCTTGAAGATGAAGTAAATGCATTAACGTTGTTCTTATATTCCGTGCATCGGCAATATATTGAATGGGCTTCGTTATTTCGAGTAGTAAAAATTGTATTGACATTTTCCATTTGTTTGTTCTTTCATGAGTGAATACGTTAACAGGATTTCTGTTCTATTTTGTTTTTTTATTATTATTTTGTTTTTGTTTTTTAGTCAATCAAAACTTGTTAATAAAAATCATCTGGTACGGAATATGATACATCAGTATGAATTGAAATAATACAACGATCGATGTTGATATTAATTTCTCGTCACTTAAAGGTGACGTTTACTCAGGTTTTCGCTGACACAAACGGATTTTTGAAAAGTACAATATCATAAAACAAGATCTGCTTACAATAGACAAAATACAAAATTAATGAAATAAATAAATATTTCAATGTTAAAATATCAATGTTTAAATTTAATTTCTTGTCAATTGAAGTCAATTTGCAACATCATAGGTTTATTTTAGTGAAGCTGGGGAAATTTGGGTAAAATTCTGCCATTTTTTTTTTCAAGATTTTTTATCATAATTTTACAAGTTATGATTCTATATCTTTTTCCACATCATTTTTCAATTACTAGTAAGAGGTATGTTATAGCTAAAGTACATGTATTGATTAAATTGAATGGCATGCAATAAAGAAGATCAAAAATAGAAACAAAATCCTTTGAAGGTAACATATTATCTAAAGATTTTGATCATGGACCGTATATACTTATCATACCAACAGAATTAGGGCAATATAAGTAATCCAAGGTTATAAATTGTTTGGAGTTCCTATCTTTCAGATTTTTGTAATAATTGATAAAAATAGGTAATATTACCCCACAATTTAGCTTCAAGCAAACATCGGACCTGTTTATATTTAGCGGGGGCAAGAATCTGCTTCTTAGTTGAAAGTTTCTTTTCAATTCACAAAGACATTATAAATTATTTTTTATCCTCGTGTTAGAAATATCAAAGAATTTCTCAACCTTTCCTTATTCGCAAACATTTTTCTCTGCAATTTAATTTTTGAACTATGTAAGTATGCATAGTGTATTATTGGTGGAAAAAAAATGAAAAATCGCAGATCATTTTTTTTTTTTTACAAATGGATAAAAATATCACGAAATTGCTTTACAGTTCTCGTTTTCAAGATCAAAATCTGTGCACAAAAAATGAAAAATGACACAAATATTCTTTTTTCGCTTTCATATCCAAAGCCAACCAAAACAAATGACTTCGAAACATGGAATACGAACTCAAAAGCAATGAGTCCTTAAATAATTAACTATTACCCATTCATGAAGATCCAGTGACTAGTGTATGCCTGCAAAACGGGGGAGGGCTTAATCTCAGTACATGCTTTTTTTCTAAGGCACAAGTGAGTACCAATCATGATTTAGTACAGTGTAGAATAGTCATGTCCTGGTAAGATAAAAGTTTCTAGAATGGCATCCAATAATTGCATCTTAAAATCTAATGAAATAATGAACATTGTTCATGCTCAAAAGTCTATTAAACAAATAATGAATACAAAATATGAACAGGGCAAACAAGTACCTCCAAACATTAAAGTTGGGATCAGGTGTCACTGAGGAGTGAGCATCCCCTGCCGACCGGTCACGCCGCCGTGTGCTCCTTGTCGTCATCTACAGAAATTAATGTTGTCCTCGAGCGAAGTCGTTACACAGATTCGCATGATTTGTACGAGTTTTAAGATTAAAGCATGAATTTGATGGTTAATCGATTCAATGTTGGAAGTTGATACCATACTGACTCCCAATATATCAACCGGTAATACTTAAAAATAAAATTCATCTTTATCCTTCTAATATCCCCGGTACCATCTCTAAAAATTAAAATAAATCTCTCAGACTGCAACATACTTGACTAATGAGGCCGTATTTTCCATAAGGAACCAAAAGGAACTATGATGATGCAACATACTTGACAATATCATAGATATCTTAAGTGAAAACTTTTTATTTTTAATAAAATTAAAAATGATATACTCTTTATGCTTAATTGAACAAATATTTTTCACAAAAAATAGTCATGTGGGCTAATCAAATTTGCTTGAGTTGAGTTACATTCTTTTATATTTACATAAGTGTAGTTTTCCTTATGAAATCCACTAGAAATTCACAACGTTCAAAATTCTATAACACACGCGACACCGTGTCAACGCGCGTTAGAATAAACAGTATGAACTATATGCACTTTCAATACTCTAGGTACACCAAAATGTACAATGCTTTATTTCAATCAAACGAAAAACTATAACCCTGAAAATTTGTCACTTTTTTTCATCGCAATGTTCGTTTGTGTTATTTAATTTTGCAACGTCTCAAACGGCTCTTACGTCTTTTATAGACGTACACCAGTTTTGAAGGGTGCTAAATTCACATTAAAGATTACTGAAATAAACAATTATGAAGAGGAAAAATTAGAAGAATGTAAATATAAGCATTGAATTCATATTTTGGGATGTCTTCGGTCCCAAAATATGAATTCAATGCTTAAATATCTCCATTTATTTATTTTATAAATGGTCCTTTTTTTTTACTTTGACTGATTTCGTTCATACGAGTATATACAACATACTTCCATATCATTGGTTAGGCAGCTCAATGAAATAATGCCTCAACTTCACGTGTTCTTTTTCATCGATAAAAAGCAAGAACACGTATTAGGTGATATTTTCAGTCATTGCTTTGCAACAGGTGAGTCGTCCTTTTTGAATCAATATACAATTCACGTGTTTATTTTTAATATGAATTAATTAATTTTAACTTATTACTTATTACTTTGGGTCTTTAAGGCTGGAATAGTTGTGTTTAAAACTATAAAGATTTATTTTGCAATACTAAATATATTATTATTTTTAATATGTATTAATTAATTTTCAAAAATTATGTAAACATGCAAATCTTTTCAAGTTCACCTGATTTTTTTAGATTGCCATTATAGTTATTGTCTTGTTTCATTAAGATGTAATATGATATTACTTATTATAGATGGATGCGATGAAACATCTATTTCTCAATGCTTCCACTCTTCCCAAAGGTCAGTACAACATATTCATGGATACGCATCCTCCGAATGAAACTTACTTCGTCCAAGAACATATGGAAGCAGAGGAATCTTTCGTTTTCAGTATAAAAACCATGAGGAATATATGTATCCCTCTAATTGTCATCGTCGGAGTTTTTGGAAATTTTGTATCCATGTTGATTTTTGCATCAAATTCGCTGCGAAGATCTTCATCTTCAACATTCCTGTTCGCTCTGGCTTGTGTAGATAACATTTTCCTGAGTTGCTTATTCCTCACATGGTTTGACGGTGCCATGGAAAATATTTTGTCCTCGGTAGGAATTTGTCAAATCATTACATATCTAACGTATATATCTAGCTTTTTGTCTGTATGGTTCGTTGTTGGCTTCACACTGGAACGCTACGTAGCCATTTGTCATCCTTTGCATGCTAAGCTGTTCTGTACCCAGGTCCGAGAGCGTATTACTGTTCTAACGCTTCTAATGACATCTTTGCTTCTTTACAATTTTTCGCTTTGGACTACTGACCTAGAAGTGTTTGCTTCAAAAGGAATCGCTCGATGTACAATTGACATGAGATACGTCAATTTTCTGAATTTCTTCACCTGGCTAGACACCTTCCTGACCATGATGATTCCGTTTGTACTGATCTGTTACATGAACATTCGAGTAGCCTGGACGGCAGTGAAATTTCAAGAGAAACGAAAAGCATGCCTGTCACCCAGGGATGCCAAAAGTGTCAAGCTTAGGACACTGCGGTCAAAGCAACAAATGAGAGTGACCAGGACATTGCTTCTCGTATCTACAACTTTCCTTGTTCTCAACCTGCCGAGTCATGTATTCAAGCTTTCAAGTCTAATATCCGAATCTTTGTTCAATATCAGCATGACACAACACCTGATTCAGGAGATTTCTCAGATTCTCTATTACTTCAGTTTCAGTATGAACTTTTTTCTGTATGCGTTTTATGGAAAACATTTTCAAAGATCATTATCATTTATGTACGAATCGCTGAAGTGGAAAAGTGGATGTAGTGACAGAATGGAATACCTTGAAAGAACTGTTACTCTTAGAAGTTGGGTTTGAAATTCAAGTAAACATAAAATATTTGCAGCTTACTAAAAACAATAATATATTTGGGTTTTTTTATTGTTATTAAATCTTGCCAGTTATCTTGAATAAAAGCATTTGCAAAATTATATTTGAGCTATTTCCAAAATTTATTTAATACAATGAATAAAAGTACAATATTTTTTTCAATAATATATACGTTTTTACGACCGAGTTCTTTACAAAAAAGCTAATTTAATCATTAATTTGATTCATTTGATTCCCGGTGTAAAGGACCAAAAGTACACAGTACTGAGATAAATAATTCTGCACCTTGGAGTTTTATTTTATTAGACGTCATGGTTACTATAAGGAGAACCTTCTGTTGATGCTTTGAAAACGCTACTCCTTCCACGGTTTTAGTCCGATTTCATTATAACTGTCTACTAAAGTAGATTACATAGTTCTGATTATCTGTATTTAATGAACGGTGTTTTCCTGTCTATACTAAATTCAACTGGGAATTTCTGACATTCTCTATAAATGTTTTTTCCACAGGTTTTTTTCTGTAATGGTAATTAAAGTTTTATCAGAAGGATATTTTAAAATACAAGGATCATATTTTTAGCGTACAGTCTCCACATACTCGTCTGGGTTTGTTTGTTTGTTTGTTTTTTTTTCTTTTTTAATTAAGGAAAAACAAGTTTTTAGAATTAAAAAAAAATGTCTCTTTTTATGTTCTTTAGCGTCTGATTAATGCATTCTTTACCCAAGATGAGAAATACTCTGCTTTTTATGTGATGGGCGATAAATTTTGACCTCTGTATGGTATGCGATGATAACGGTCGTAGGTAGTAGTGAGAGATTTTTATTATGCAAATCCTTTCCAAGTCAAAAGATATTAGGAACAGTCAATATTAAACTCTTAGGTATGAGGCAAATGAGAATCTGAGTCGCACCTGTTGATCACGAAGCAAGTGATCTAACATTGGACTACTGTGATCTTTTAATGCCACATTTACCAGGGCAAAATAATGCTTTCACATGTTCATCTTCACATGATACATGAGTGAACGAATTCAAACGAAAGATCAACATATATCTTCTTTATTATTGAAGATAAATAAACGATTGATGAATTAAAGGATTGTTTCTTTGGACAAAATAAGTGTCATTAACATATAATGCGATGTTAACAAATAGTTATGAAGCTCAAAAGCCCATTTCAATACATACTGGAAAAAGAGCAAGCAAAGACCACCAAAAACATCGGGTTGGGATCAGGTTCTAGACCAATCACACTCGCCGTGTGCTCTTTCCTTTGATTGGTCAAATGGAAAAATTCGTTTTTGTTTGTTTGTTGTTTAAAGTCCCTCTCGAGCATTTTTCACTCACATGGAGACCTTCACCAATTAACGATGGAGGGATGTAAATTTTGCATTACAATCGTTAATTACGGCCATTGAGCAGGGAGGAAACTTTTTCGTGCCAGCACCTGCTGCGACACGGGACCTAGTTTACACGGTCTCATCCGAACGACCGGTTTCCACGTCCCACAGTTGGATTAGAACCCGTGACGTAAGGATCAACTCCTTACTTTGTGACTCTAGAGCATACGCTCTAACCACTGCGCTACTCGGGGGACCAAAAATAAGTGGACGAATCTATGTTTAAGAAATGGTCCATTAGTAAGTATGAAAAAATCCAGCCAGCATCAGACATAAAATCTACATGCAAGTGATGATATATTGTTTCTTTGTAAGGAAAAGTTAATAAAAGTTAATGTCAACATTTTAATATAAATGTTTGTATTTATTCGGTTGTTAAAATGACTCTGTGTTGTCTTTTTATTTCGAGTTCAAAGGGATATTTTGAATCAACGTAGCAATGAATAACATTATATGTACTGATTAATCGTCTCCGTTGAGTAAAAATGATGGCAGCAAGAAATTTTGTTTATTGATGAAAACGGTTTTAAATATTTTTATATAAAAGTCTACTTACAATGGGACAGAATAAGTACCTAACGAAATTGACACAAATTGTTTGGAAGTCTTGATTTAAAAAAAGAGATAATGATAATACATAAAAATTTTGGAGTACTTATGCTTACAATCAGACTGGTTTTGCAATAAACAATGACAAAGTATGTAAATGTAGGAGTTCTATAAGAATCAGTTTCATGCTACATTAGTTACGTGTCATTTCACAAAGATTTCACGAACATTTAACAAACAATATTATCATCGATCAAAAGACCGAGAAATGATCACAGATGATATCAATAAATGTGAACCTTGCTGAATGATCAGCATCGGATGTAGATTTCACCATTGCCGACATTATTTCTGAAAACAATTATCTGTTCAAATCTTAGTTGGCCTTTGACTTTGTTTCGAAAACTGTTCAATTAATCTTTTGATTTATTTTACATATTGTAATTATTATTCAATTACCATATTAAATTCATGCTTTGGCCTGATAGCATGACCTTGTTAGGCTAGGCAATAAACAGTACATGTACTATAATGACTTAGTGCAGAAGTATCAAAGTAAAGGATGGAAAGAACAAAGTTCACTTAAGTCAATTTTTGGCCCTGTGAATTTCTTGAAGAAGTGAAACTGCTTAATTTTAGTTAACAATGCATTAGATAGAGAGGTTTAGCAAGCTCACTTGTACTTGTACATGTACGTGTAAACTAAAATTAGAATTACACGTATATGTTAACATTTTGTTTTTCTTGTTTAGCAAAGTATACCTGTACTTGTACTTGTAAGTTTTTAAACGTAAAAGTGGTTTACATTTAAAAATCATCCAAAAAACAACGATTTTAATACGTATATCACCGTTTTACATAAATATATGCATGTATAAGATTGTACAGATTTCTTATGTTTTTAATCGGTCAAAGCTTGTTTCAAAAATCTGGACTTGTGATTTTAACTCCATATAAATTCAATATTTTTCAATTACTGACGTTCAGTTCTTTTATCAGTATTTGCATTAAATATTCAGGTTTTAGAAAAACGCACACTTTCCGAAAAATAAACAGCAGTTAAAGAATTATAAGCTACAAGTTTTGACTTATGTGTACTTGGCAATCTACACGTAACCTGCGTAAGAGGATACGTGTAGAAATTCGTCATTAGCAAAAGTGATGACGTAATGCACAGATTTCTGGTGCTACAGGTACACGTGTGCGTACACGTTGGTTTGCTGAACATTTCTAATATTTGAAGATTACATGTCTATCAAAAATGACGTAATTTTCTTGCTAGTCAATGCATTATGACGTCACGAAATACGTCAATTTCATCATTTTCTGAAAAAGTCTACAAAAACAGGCAATTTTGAAAACTATTTTTCAATATTTAATATAAAGCGCAACCTCCGATCTAAATTTAGCAATTAGTAAATGAAAGAACTGTTTCTGAGGATTAAAAGACACGTTTTATTTTTTAGATCAGAGGGTGCGTTCATATTATTTCTCTTCTCTGAAAGTACTCAAATAAAACTGTTTACACTAAAATTTAAGAACATAGCAATTCCATAAAGCCTGTGTTCCAAGACCTGGAGTTTAAGGAGAAATTTTTTAAAAGGAAATGAAAGTACTTAGTCTCTACCTTTATTTTGATGTTAAATATGGAACATAAAGTGTTAATCATTAAATTGGTATATCTACAGGGCTGTTTTATGCGTAAAGTGAACCGAGATCTTTTGAGTGTCCTGTCTGCTTGCATTGATTTAAAATGATAAAAATGAACTAACGGTCGTCAACATCTACATCTAACGAATTCTCAAGAGCTTCATGAAAAAGCGACACTGCATAACTTCTCCAGTTCGACCCTAGTGAGTGACAAATCGAGTCAATGCTCGATGAAATACCTTTATTGTGATTTTCTTGATTACAGTTCGATCAACCAATCTCCAGGTGAAAACGTTAACCCGCAAATTAGTTAGTGTTTTCATAAGTAGGTAATAATTTGAGTACGATTGCATTAACATTATATGAACAAATGCCTTGCAGAAATTGCTGTTTAAACAATAAAAAGAAATAATATCAAGATATCACTTGAGATATCACTGTCACCAATGCTGCTTTTTTGTAAGAACGTTATCTGTATTTCTTTCAAAAGTCGAAATTACAAATTCGTCACCTCTTTTTCCGGTCATTTTACATTGTTTTGATATTCTTTGCACCAGTATCAAGTTCGAGGGCTTCAACATCGTTTGAACCCTTGTGAAACAAGCATAATATTCTTACATACAGCTCATCGTCAAATGAGGTAAAATAATAAACAAAGCGATATGATTTGCCTTGTATTTGAGTGCTTTTGCAAAGAAATCTTCTAATGGCCAGCTAATATCAGTTTGAACTAAACGCGAAGAGTTTAAAAATACACATGTATATTTCAGGAAATATTTATATTGGATCACTCATAAATTTTGGTTGGTTGTGATTTCTTATCCAACAAGTTTTGTATTTTTTAAAATACTCATAACAAGTTGGATAAAAATCATATCCAACCACAAATCAAGAGAGTTTCTTTTTATCCTAAGTTCACTATTAATCATTATTAATGTTGGACACTGCATTTATGTAGGAATCTACTTAATTTTTCTTCATCATCCTCATGCAAAATCCATTGTGACGTCACAATTGTGGGATATAAAAAAAATCCAATGAGTGACATCCACGGGTTAAAGGGGTAGACATGGGATAAAAAGAAATATAAAAACAGTAATGGATCTCTAAAGTGCATCAGAACAACGTTAACACAATTCTTTATCGAAGGAAACAATGACCTCAAAAATCGTTAAAGATGGTGTATCATCGAGAATCCTCTCCCTGACGGTCAAACCCACCACGTGTTCCTTGTCGTGATCTGATCAACAGAAAATTTTTAGGCAAATCAGCGTGAATATAAATGCTTACTTAGTTTAAAGAAAAATGACAGTCAACTGTCAACTTAATGATAAATTGCATTAACAAACTAGATCTTTTTTTGCAACAGACCTTTCAGAATTTTGACTTTATGTTGGGCTGTTGATATCCTTGTATCATTAACTTATTCGTCATTAGCTTTCCTCGTTTTTGAAAATGTTTGTTCCCACAGCATGTTTGCAGTTCGAATAAAATCAACTTGGGGAAATAAACTCTATTTACAAACAACAATGGTATATTACTTCAATATTACTTCAATTAGTATAAAGTTTTATCGGTATGTTGCTCTCTAGATTTTCTTCTTCAAAAAATCCAAATATGAATGAGATGTTTCAGACTACTTGGTTATTATCATTTTAAGTTCAAATGAATTCATCCAATTAAAGTAGGAATATAAATAAATATTGTAAGTTGATAAAGCCTCATTGAAGTCCACAGCAAGAAACCCCTTTCCTTTTAAGGTTTTTGGACAATCATCTCTTCGTTTTTTAAATACAAAACAGGCCTGCGAATAAATTTACTGTATTTCAAACAATTGCTAGAAAACTGGATTTATAAAAACTACATAAAGATTTTCGAACAGAAACTTATAGTCATCCTGTAAATATCATCTTAGACGTAACTTTTTTTTTAGAATCGTGATGTTTTTCAGAAAAATATATGGAGATAATGAACAGTATTTATATTCAAGCTCAAACGTCCATTAAACAATACAACATCGGAGCAGAGCAAACACGGACCTCCAAAACATCAGAGGTGGGATCAGGTGCAATGGAGGAGTGAGTATCCCTGCCGACCAGTCATGCCCCCCCCCCGTTTGCTCCTTGTCATAATCGAGAAATAACGGGAAAATCCATCGACAATTCAGTATGCATATAATGGCCTAACAATTAGTATGAAAAATGTCAGTCAGCATATAACCTTAAAACAAAAGACTAAGACACATTTTAAACATAGTTTTATTCATTTTTGGATCGTTATAGGAAACAGTAATTTATTTACTATATGTACCACACCATTCTTTAATGGTATGTCTTCTTCAGCAATCTTAACTCCATTTACGTAAACATCTGTAAATATTAATACAATATTTTAGTGTAATTAGAACATTAAAATGTTTTTAAAATCTTTATATATCGAAACCATTCTCTTTTTTATCATTCGCAATTGACATAAACATTAAGATTGGAAGGATGGGACATTATCTTACTAGTGTTTATATCGTTTTCCTTAAATTTGTAATTAATTGCAGTAATTGGGACATTTATGATGATTATGCCATTTAAAAATAAGCTATCTACAAGTTTTTTGTTTATTTACAAAATATATATGCCATTGCGCATAATAGTTTTCAGAAGTAAAGCTAAAATAAATTGCTTTTGAAATTTAATGCAAGTGTCTAACTAATTTTTTTTTTTATTTCATAAAAATTATTTTTAATGTAAAAATTAACTTCATATGCAAAAAAAAAAATATTTAAATCTATGGTTACCTTGATTGACTTTGATGTTGATCCCTGATCCAACACTGTTTTTAATGAATCCCCCATCAAGAATCCGTAAGCCATTTGTATACATTGTATCATTCACTGTGTGATTCCTAAAAAGTGCTAACGAAAAAAGAAGTTCAAATTAAAATTATCTATCTTAAATTGTGTATTGAATAAATAATATCCAAACAAAATAAAACCGTTATGTATCACATGTAAAAACTTATTTCTTTTTAAAATCAATTTTTCTCCTCAAAAAAGTTGACACGAAATACATGTACATGTATATGTATATGTTCTGCTTGAGTTTTGTATACGAAATTGTTATTTAAGTTATTTAATATTTGACGTCGCATAGTGTGACCAATGGGTTTCAATGGGTTTCATACTTAGGTGTTCGTGAAAAGATGTCTTCTGAAAAAAAAAATTGTCAAAGTCCAGACGGTTTGTGAATCTAATACGTTGTTTAAGACTATATTCATAAACTATGGAGTGACAGAATTTATCAGTGTAGTTTTTTTCTTTATTTTATCCAAAAGTATATATTTAAATGATTTTTTTTTAAATCAAATGCCTCGCAAACATAGACGCCTAAGAATAAAAGTGAGGTTTTAACACAAATATGCCTAGAAATACTTTTCATCAAATTTATGGAATACCCAAAAAATTACAACCAAAAGCTTTACCTTCAGTTAGTGTAACATTTGTGAGGAACTTTGTAAAGTTCATTCCTGTTTCAACAAAAGCATTATCCGATGGAAGAAAAAGTGTTAAGTTCTGTCCTAAAAGAAAACAACTCGCAATAATCAATTGTGACAACATCTAACAATGATGACAAATATTAACAAAAACCACGGGTTCCAAAGGCTTACAGATAATACTTGTATTCAGACATTCAAGAGCAGATTTTCTCCTCATTGGAATTGATTTACTTGCAGTCCTCTTTATTAACCTGTGCAATGATTACAATTATATTGATAATACTAATATAAATAGGTGGCAGGGTGACATAGTATTCAATTATTGTATACTATAACGGTTTATGTCTCTAGTAAACGTAGTAGAGATAGAAGTGAAAACATGTATACCTTTCATTTGTAAGATAATGATCTACATTTTATAAAGAAATCGCTCTATGTTTCAAATAGTTCAAAAAATTAGATTACCGACAAAATAGAATACTCCTCGAATAATGAAGGCCTATGAAAATTTTTCAAGAGATTATTTGGCTTTCATATTTATGCCACATTTGCAACATGTCTTTATTCCTCTAAGTAGGGGTACCAATTGAGTTTAAGTAGTATAAGATACAGCATTTTATATCTAACAAAAAGTTGGTACATCAGTTTCATAATTTGGTGTTTCACTGTAGTCAATAATGATCACCTAACAACAAAACTGTGTAACAAACGAGATGGCTTCGATGGTTACATAGTAATATATTGCACTACATGTATATCATATGCCTAACTTGTTTATGCCTCTTAAGTTAATGATTAAACAAGAGATTGTTCCAAGTACAATCATTTTTTTTTAACAGAGGCAGGCTACTAATAAATATTTCCATTTCTAATTTTTTTTTCTCTGTGATAACTCTTTGAAAGTTGTCGGAATTTATTTCTTGATAATTCTGTCGGAATGTAAATTAGGCAGGTCGATAGGTCAGGAGCTAAGGAGGCCTAATACGCATGCAATTCTCGTGCGCATCTGCCTCTGTGTCTGATGCTAAGGAGGCCAAATATGCATGTAAATCTCGTGCGGCTGCCTTTGTGTTTGACGTCGGTTGGCGAGGTCTATTGAAATTGGCATGGAAGTCATCATGTGATTTAAATCTATTTATCTACATTTTTAAAGTCTAAATCTACAATTTTATTTCACAATGAAATGAAAATATAAGGAATCACTGTTTAGTTAAAAGGGTATGTCAGGGACATCAACAATAGTGGGAAACAAGGATAAATTATCATAACGGGCTTCGCCCGTTATGCAAATTATCCCATGTTTCCCACTATTGTTGATGCCCTGACATACCCTCCTAACTAGACAGTGATTCCTTAAATAAATTGACTTCAACAATCTCTTTCAAAGTCATCATTTTGAAATAATTTCTGGTCATTGGCACTTTATTGTCCGTGTTTGCTTTGCTCCTATTTTGTATTGTTTTATGGAATTTTGATCTGGAATACTGTTCGTTATCTCCATATGTTTCATTCATATTTGAAGTGTCCAAGGAAACATCTTCACGGTCTTTTCACAAATTAACTTTATTTTTAAGAAGTTTGAGATCTGCACCAGTTCTTAATTGCTAAATTGTCAGGGTATTTTCAAAAAAAAATTCTTATAAGGTATACATTTGGTTATTAAGAAGTTATTTCTTGTTTATATACAATTTATTCATTAATGTTTTAATATGTTATCTAATTTATTTATCTTTCTAAATCTGAACCAGTATTACCGAATGTCAATCTAATGTTTTGCCATACGCACTGTTTAACTGGTCCTGATAGCCACTGATCTGCAATAACATGGCTAATTTCCTCATTCTGCTATTGCCCTGGATGTAATTGGATGCCAAGTCTATTGGGAGGTTATACAGTACTTTGTCTATTACTTGAACGATGCCGTTCGTTGCTACTTGGTCTGCCTTGATCAAAGTTGCACCGGAAGCTGACATCAAAGATGGCTGTCAATGTTTTTTCAAAAAAAAAATCTTCCTCTAAATCAATTAGTAGGTATTATTAGAATAAGCTGTCATTCAAATGAATTAGTATAAGCATATATCTTTCACTGAGAAGTACTTTGTCCTACAGCTTCCTGATTGTTTTACGATATGTGCATAATATGTAAAAAAAAAAAAAAAAAAAGTTCTTTGCTAATTAAGCGTGTACACAGAAACGTGAATTCGGCATATATGTCTTTTTCAGATACGCACAGCTTCATTTGATTCAAATGTTTTTTGACAGAGAGAATTTTTTTGCATTTAAAAGGTAGCTAACTGGGTACATCTGTATATCTATATTTTTACTTGATATATCTATTTTACTTAGCCTGTGTTTTCATAAAATAAGGGTGTGACTTTATGTTATACGATTAACTGTAATCTTTTTGTTTATGTTGCGCTGTGACATATTATTCGTTGAAAAACGTTTCATCAGTTTCAAAGAGTGTGATTGAAACATGCATACAACTTTCCGAGATATATTATATATTATTCGTTGAAAAACGTTTGATCAATTTCAAAGAATGTGATTGAAACATGCATACAACTTTCCGAGATTTGATTTTAAAAATCAAACAGAAATAAGACAATGACAAATATATGGATGAACTTTGATGGCTTTTCTCTTATTTGTAAATCTTACACTAACCTCTCCAGTTTTATTTTTGTAGATGTTTAGGCGTATTGAAGAACCTCCTTGTAAAGTTGGGATCAACCTGTTGTTCGTCCAGTTGGTAAAAGAGAGATTCCCTCGTGTAATATGATAGGAAGTGATGTCATACAAAAGTTGCCAGTTTCCGTCATTTTGGAGTTTCTTCACCACTGATGGCGGGAGATTGCTGAAGGCGTCCTCATTTGGCACATACACCGTGAAGGGACCTTGGAGACAAAATATCTTTTAAATAAGATGTGTATGTTTAATTTACACTCTTCTAAGGTTAACAGAAGCATTAGAATTGAAATGTATTTTTCTTTAATTTGTGTTGTGGTGTACCCATATCTTTGGGGTTTTTAAAGTCTAAATTTTCTATATGTTTTTCCCTTCTACTCTAATATCAGTTGTCAATTTTCAACTGTCAAAATTCACAATAATTTTTTTTCATATTTTTTATTGACCGAAGGGGTTACCTAAAACAATTAGAGTTTGTTTTTTATTTTCATTATTACATTCCTACACATGTTTCATTATTGAATGGATTCAATCAGGTTTGCTCTATGTTAAGTTGAGCCTATTTCAAGCATGTTTAATACAAAAGCGATAAAATAACCCTTAAGGTTTGGCATTGTCAGCAATGTGTGCGTGCCTCAGCCTTTCACACGTAAACACCAATTATTAACGTATTCTGAAAAGATATGTTTTCTGTCAACAAACGCATTGCACCTGTAGCTTCGTCAGTCCTAATCAACATGAAAAATAAGCCTAGGACTGCATGAACCTATTGTTTTGTTAGGATTTCTTTGTGGTTACAAAAGGTCTTCTTCTTCTAGACGACAATAATAAGGAATTTCTATTCATGCAAGGAAAAAATATTCGGGATGAAAATAGCTACAAACCAGACGAGTTTTCGGACAGTTTATACATAAATCCAGTGGCTTCTAATAATCCGCTGAAACTTTTTAATCCGAGTTTATCAAGTAAATCATAAATGTCCCATTGTGGCGCTGCAACACAGCAGACAGATGACATATATATAACAGCACAAAAAATTAAGAATTTAGGAAACATTGATAAACAGGTGTATACGTATAGATCTGTGCTTGTCTTAAATTATCAGTCTGAAAGTAGAACATGTCTGTAGATGATTAACAGATAAAATTTGTATATCTCGTGAACTAGAACTAATACAAATTGTAAACGAAGGAAACATTTTCAGGAGGTTAATAACAAAGATTGTTTTAAGTTTTGTTGGTATCGTTATTTGTAAACTTCCTACTGATCGATATGTTTCCAATCATCTTAAATCAGAGCTAAAACAACATCTTCATTTTACAGTAGAATAGAATTAATGTTCACAGCCCCAGAGTTAAAATTTATTCATAAATTCATCTCTTAAATTTACATCTACAGTTAACAGCTTTTTTCTAAAAAAAAAATTTCTCTCTCAAATTTGAATTAATTTTAATCATGCTTTAGATACATGTATACTGCTGATATATGCATTTTAGCTTTCGACTAAAAAACCAGTAGCCAAATTTTCAGGATTTCATTTAGTCTAGTACTTGTCAGTTTTCTGGTTTCTCGGGAATTTAACTCAGCAATGAATCTAATTGTTTGAGCTTTAGTAGTTCTTTTGGAGCTAAGTTTTGGCAACATTTATATTAACTGACATTGTACATGTGAAAAAAAATGCCTCACAAATAATGCGACAAAAATTTGATTTCTTGTTTCGAAGGAATATTCTGATATCGCATTTTTATGACATTTTATAGCTGAAATTAATGACATCTTTAATTTGATTATTGAAGGTATAAATTGTCAATGGAAGGGAGTGTTTCAACTTTTAAAAAAAGGATAACGAACAGTGATTAATGTCATAAATCAAGTAAAGACACAAAATTAACATGAATAGATCAAACACTTTGGAAACACTAAAAGTGGAATTAGGTCAAAGGGACCCATTGATAGTTTGAATTTGCAATTATTTTAAATGACGCTTGATACCATGCACCTATAATATTTTGGAGGTCTGTGTTTGCTCTGCTCAAATTTTGCATTGTTTCATGTACTTTTGGGCTTTAGCACTGTTCATTACTTTCATATGTTTCATTTAAAGGAATATAAGAATTGAGATATGCTGACTTAAAACGAGATGTTGGAAACACCAACGTATTTGTCAGTAACCTGCTTTTGTTTGATGCTTAATCATACTTACAACTTGTTTTATATTGAATCAGTTTTGTAAAACAATTGCATAATTATGATTGTGGAATACTAAGTATTATATATTGAGAATTTGCAATGTCCTTAAAGTCGATTTCACTGTAATATATCGAGATGATATACATGTACATATGCCAGAGCAAGAATTCAAACACATACGGTTACTATTACGCGTAAAAGAACATTCATATATTATTTCTCTGGAGCTTATGCCCATACATTATACAAATTTCTGTGAATCCTGAAGTGTGAAGAGAGAGAAAAATATAATTTGATATCATTTACCTTAATTGCTGTAGTATAGGCGATGCATAAATATAATCCACGTGCGTCATTAAAGAAAAAAACAGAATTTTAATTCATCACCTGATGTTATTAACACATAATGAAGTGTGTAAAGATTTTTATTTTAGAGTAATTTTTGTTCTCATTAATGTTACAAAATGAATTACCCAAATTACCATAAAACCGTATATATATATGTATACTTTGTAATGAATTCAAAACAAATCATCCTACCTTTTTTTAACCAAATCCATATTTTAATTAAGTATATAATCAGAAATATTAATGATTCACAAATTGTATGTTCATTTCAAGCAGTTACAAAGCTAAATAAATGTTATTAATGAGTAAAATTAACAAGAGATCTAATGGTTACAAGTACTTATCCGAGGGCATAGCTATCTTTTATAGATTCTGAAGATTTTTAAATAACCTAGCAAACACAGAGGATGGCTAAGCTCTGTAAACGTTCTTTTCATCAAAATTTCTTTTACATCTCCAAGCTTATTTACAGTAGCCTTGTCAGCTATAGCTTGAGATCAACTGTACATTAAATTCGAATGAAATATATGGAGAAAACGATCACTTTTCAGGTTAAAAAGTCTAATAAACAATACAAAATAGGAGCAGAGCAAACACGGACCTCCGAAATACCAGTATCAGAGGTGGGATCAGGTGCCATTGAACACTGAGCATTCCCTGCTGACCCGTCACACCCGCCGTGTGCTGCTTGTCATGATCGGAAAATAACAGAAAAATCTCAGTTCAGTGTAAATAATGGTTTAGTATGAAAAACGTCAGTCAGCATTTGACTCAATGATAATTTGTATTTACTGACAAGGTCATTGTATCGACTAAAGAACTTACGAAATTATGTTTTTAAACCTGACTGCTGATATTCTATTTCATCAACTTGTTTGTCAATAATTTACATCGTTTTAGAAATTGTACATACGTAGAGCAAGCTCTTGAGCATCGAATCAAGTGAGAGATATAAACTCCGTATGCAGGTGATAAAGGTATTACCTGGTAATATTGCTGCAAAAGTAAGGGAAGTTGACGATTGAAAAGTTTGACATCACGTTTATCAAAGCGCTTGGTTATTAGATTAACATTAATGTCTTTTTCAAGTAAAATATCCTAATATGAAACAAATGTGTCAGAGACGGGGGTATCTTTTACCTCAAGCTCAGCGGGATACATCGTATCGATATAAGAATGGAAATAATTATTGTTAATTGACAATACGCCGTCGATATACATGTATCTTAATGTGGAGTTGAAGGCCACAGCAAGCGTTTTCTTCTTTTCACGTATAAGATTTTAGATAAATTCTGCTTCATATGAATACAAAAATAGGTCTGCTAATAACGGGGTGCAATTGGTACCATGGGAATTCCAATAGATTGTTGGAAGACCTGGACTGTAATTTATCGTCGGGAAATGGTGTTGTATAAAGTTGAAAAGTCATGTTTTTAAGCTGTAAATTTTGGTAGAACAATGTGTCATGTTAATGTTATCAAAAAGCCTGGACTGTAATTTATCGTCGGGAAATGGTGTTGTATAAAGTTGAAAACTCATGTTTTTAAGCTGTAAATTTTGGTAAAATCTTGTGATTTGAAATTTTCCAAAAGTTCTTTGAAATTTTTAAGTATCCACGTCTGATTTACACCACTCCTCGAATATCTTGTTGCAAAGTACTCTTGAAGTTTCTCCTTCACCACTGTTAATATCTAAGTGAGGAGTAAAGAAAGAGGCTTGGTTGCATGAGCATGGAACCCGCTATATGTATCTTTGGTTGTAAGGATTTTTATGGAGTTTCAGAATCCAATACAGGTATGGTAATTCAAATTTATTTTAATTGTTTGAGATCTTAAACATAACATACAATTTATATAATGAACCTTACAAACGAAGACAATGTGTAATCCAACTTAGGTCTATATTCATAGTTTCCGTTCTAAGGAAGAAATTCCTCAAAATCATATTTCAGTTTTGAATATTTTTACTTTTTTTTTTATTTGACCTGTTGGTTAAGTTGAAAACCAGTACAAGACTGTTTGGAACTATTAGAGTTTTTTTTTTCAAAAATAAGACGACAGCTCCTCTTTGATTCAAAATCCTTTGATACTTCCAATTGGATACATCCATTATACGTTATCTATCACGCATATTCATCATACTCTCTTTTGTTAAGCTGTGCATATATTAATATTCGCTGATACCCTGGCATACTCTACTAACTAGACTCGACTCTTGGCACGGTTGATTTTTTTTTTTTTTTTTTTTGGCATCTGTAGAATATTAATCACTCAAATGACAAAAAGTTTTGATTTTTTTTAATTCATTCCTGTTTAAAGGATCACTTCATTATAAATAGGGATCTGACCTATAGGACCGGGCTTGGTTTTATTCTCTACAAAAAGCTTGTCGATTTCCGTTCTGATTAATGACATTAGGCTGAATACATATAACAATTTGTTTTTCCCAAATCTTTATTTCAGTGAATAGAGATAAGAGGAACCCTTTTTATTGATTTTCTGAGTTTGTTATCTCCAAATGTAATATATATTACATCTCATTGTGCATAAAGGTAATGTCTACCGTCTCTGCAATTCTATTCTTTATGCCTAGGCTATTTATCCGTGGATATGATAAAAACTTGTCATTAATACGTTCAAATTATGAAGGCTTAAATGAAATCCAAGGGGTGCAATTACTGAAATATGTAGCCAAAATCAATGTGATTAAATTCTAAGGAATACATACAATTGAAATTCATCGCAGCTCAATGCTGCCAAGAATACCCTATTGAGTAACACACAGTGAGTTATTCTTGTCCTCGGAGAAAGTGTGCTTATACTGGGGTTCGTTCCACCTGACTGACAACTGTATATTGGATTGTTACGATTTAATATCTCTTTAGTGTTCCTTATATCAAGAATGGGCATGCATAAGGCATAGAAAATCGAAGGAAAAATACATAAGTTTGTAAAAAAAAATTTGAATAGTCTTTGAAAAGGCGAAATTAAGAACTTTATAAGTGTTGTACCAGGTGGATTCGATCCCCCGACTTTAAAAAGAGAGTATCCAAGGTTTAAAAGTTTGCGCATATATCAACTGAGCTAGTCTGACTATAAGGAAATATGGCATAAATTTAAAGCAGATTATGAAAATCTGGTTTCCTTAATTTTTTGTAGGTTTTTTCAAAATAAATTATTCCTTACATCCTAATCTATCAAAATATCACAATTTTATTTAGGGGCAAGCCTGCCCTGATGGACTTCAAGGCCAAAATTCATGCAAAAATCAACGCTTTAAAGGACAAAATGGTGTATCGATCAACTTTGGAAGTTTATTGTAAAGTTGTAAATAATAAATTTTAGGTAAAAAATACAAATTTAAAAAATCTAGACATATATACGGTAGAAAACAACAAATAAAGATTGATTTTTAAATGTCACTTTTTCCGAGAAATTGTTCTCTCCTATAGGTCAATTCTTTTGTTAAGCGAATACATCCTTTACCTGAACACTTTACTGCGTGAAAACTCGTGTCTTTCCAGATATCAAAATGTCTCTTAGAGACGGCTTGAGAAAGGCGTAGTTTTTATTTGATATTAAAAGTTGCATTAATACTGTACTATAAAAAAGTAATTCTTCTGAAAAAAAATAAAACTTATCCTATCGTTTAAGGACCGATGGCTCCTCTTAAACTGAAAATAAAAAGATATCTCTAAGGAGACTTTAGACCCTTGATGTTCAAATAACAATATGAACTTGTATTTATCTGAAAATTTCCAACATAAATACTTATAGTGAAAATTCAACTTTGTTGATAGTACTGCATTAAAAAAATAAGGAAAACAATTTTTTACAAGTAATCACAGTGTGTAGATGGGGAAAAATCTATAAAACGTATATATGTGCAAAAAAAGGACAAGGCTTTTATAAGATGCATTCATAAATATGCAGTTATTCCCAGACAGAGCAGTTACAAATTCAAATCATGATTCCTGGATGTCTTAGTGGCCAAATAAGGGTATATAATCTTTTTCAGAATAGCAGGAGCAGGACCAGGTGACTCAGGTGAGTATGGTGGTTCATTAGCCATAAATTATATCTTGATAATATCTCTCCTCAATTAATAAAGGATCATATCATTAATAAGAATACAATAATTACTTATATGTATCATATTTATTATTTTCAACAAAACCTGCAAACAAGCTTTTACTATAATGGCATTTCACAAATCACACCCCCGACATTTTGTAAGTGTCATAATCTGGCACTTTGGGCTTCACAGTAAATGTCTTTTTAGGTTTTATCTTCCTCCCGTGATACCCAGTTTTACGGTGCCTCCACCCTGTCCGCGGCCTGTATCCTGACCGCATTTTCTCCCCCACCCCCTTCCACGGAATGTCATCATGTCCAGCATTAGACACTTGTCCTACTGTTGCCATACATTTGGGGTCCAGAACTATTTCATGCTTTGATGGCATTCTTAATACAACACTTTCACCAACTTTTCTGAGTAGTTGGGCACTTGAACCCCCAGCTCTACAAATCATCCCCCCTTGACCAGGTATCTTTTCTATGTTGTGAACAATTGTTCCCATAGGAAGAGCACCTAGTGGATGTGAATTTCCCTCCATGGCTCGCACTGAAAGACAAATAAAGCATTTTTTATCCAACAGAAAATGCATTCTATGACATCAACCATTTATTATTCATACGTGTGGAGGAAGAAAGGTTACAGGGTTATTGTAAGTAAAATTTTCCTCAGAACATTAAATTTTTATCAAACAGAAAAATATATTTAATGGGATCATTCTTTAATTTGGGATGATTCTTGTTTTAATTATCTCAATATCTGTGCAATGAAGCTTTCCATCAACATATATTATTGAATGCCAATCCTTCCATTCATTTAAAGAATCTTTGTACCTGAGATGGTAGGTATTTCCTTGCTGATTTTGACCAGGTCCCCCTCTTTCATGTTCTGGGTGGCGATGATGTATCGCTTATGGTTACCACTTCCCACGAGGGCTAGGTGAGCCGTCCTGACCGGGTCAGGCTGGATACGCAGCACCCTCTCCTCCAGGGGTTGATCTCCCTTTGTGTCCGGGTACCTGTCATCCCTCATGTACCAGTTCACTTTCGGTCCTCCTCCAATTTTGGCATTAACAGTTTTTCCTGTGTAAACATTAATTCATGAAATGAACACATATTTCTTTTACAGGACAAGAGAGAGAACTCTTTTAATAAACTGGACGTGCAACCATTAAACAGATAAAATGCCACTCAAAAAAAAATGCATGTCTCCTGATTCAATTGGGGGACAGATGATAGTGGATGATCTTTTTTTCCTTGAAACATTTATTTTATCAAATATAATGCGATCAGATCTAACTTTGAAAATGAATATTTCAAATTAATTGTAACAATTTAATACCATTAAGATCTCTTCCACCACTCCGGATAAATGGTAGTGGTTCAGTGGTGTACTTTCCATCAGATGGTAGAATGGGGCGCCCCATAGGGACATAATAATGTGGTCTCCTTAATGTCTTGAACCTCCTCTTAGGTCTGTATGTGTAAAGTCTAAATGATCTACAATAAAAATAAAGAAAATACATATTTTTAAGAAAACTATTCAGGACATTTACAGTTTTGTGAAATAATGCACATTTCTGGTATTAAAAATTTAGGTGATAACTACCAGGTAATAATGAACAAAATCATACTTCAGAAAATTCAAACTTCAATCAAAGAGCAAAAATATAATTATATTTCAAGTTGGGGGGGGGGGGGGTTGTTGTTGAACACCTTGGAATAAATCAGAAGGTGCTAATACAATTTTTGGTTTTTATGTTGTTGTTTTTTTCTCATGGATAAATTGCAGACAATGTTTGCATATGAAATTTCAACATTTAAAGTCAATTTCAGCAATTTATATGAAAATTGTATCTAATTAAAGCAATTCTTTTACCATGACTTTTAAATACATGTATCTAAATAAAAAAAAATAATTGTCTGATTCAGTTCAAACATATTTCTTTCATTCTATATCTTCATTGTACGTTGTTCAGCAAAAGATATAACCTTACAATATACACATGTATTCAAATTTAATTCTGAAACAAACAAACATATACTATTTCAAAGAGAATATTTATTCAGGATATAGCTGCATGCATAAATACTAGATACAAGAATGATGATACCAAAATATCTTTACATTTTTACATGACAATACAAAATTCAGTAAGCAATGTTCACTGATGTATATTATACATTTCATTCGACCTTACCTCATTTGGGTGAATTTAAAACGGGGCGAATTCAAAAATTTCAGTATAATTTCTTAAACAAAACTACCATTAGGCGAATTTAAACGGAGCAAATTTGTTTTACAGTGTGAAAGGGCGAAAATAAACCCTGTATACAGTATATTATACATTTCATTCATTCAGAGCTGATCATGTACGAAACAAATCATATGAAATGTACATTTTTTAAAAATAGGTATACATATAAATTTCATGCCTTCATTTCTTTTTCTTAGATTTAAGGAAAGGTTCATTGAATAGGTCAAAAGCTCTTTTGGCTTTCTGTGGACCGAATCCCGGACAAAAGCTCAGGTCTTCCTGGGTTGCCTTCAGCACGCCCTCCATCGTGTGAAACGTGTTCAACAAGGTCATGGCATCTGTCTTGTTAACTGACCTTACAGAGGTCAAACACTCTGTGACCTTTGACATGTAGTCCTTTTCCGTTTTTTCCATGATGGCCTCTGGTGGTTTGTGCTCGTAAACTTTGTAAGTTTCCAAATAGCGCCCTGCCTCCTCTGGTGAGAATGCTAAAATTAGGGTACAGTCAGCCAAGATACAAATTTTTGCTAATTCTTTTACGAGATGATGGGGTTCCTTGATATCGACCTGCACCAATAGCACTCTGAGCTCATAGTACCTGCGTAATTGTTTCAAGCGTTCATGAATGTAGTTTGGATTAAGTTGGTGATAACGAAGACTAAGAAACAAGGCACAAGCAGTTTTTCCCATTTCATAGTCCGGAATTATTTCTCCAAACTCGTAGGGAATGCTGCGGATAAACTTAAGTATTGGATTTCCTCTTTGTCTTGAATTAACAATGATACTGTTAGAATTCAATGATTTAACAGCTGTTGGTATGCCTGTTTCAGTGGCAGCAGTGGATGTTGATGGTATATCAGTCTCAATCACAGATTTTGAAGAGCTTGGTTCTGAAGAACTTTGTGGCAACTCTTTCCCAATCTGGACCACAGGTTTTGAACTCTGTGGTTGCTCTTTCACACTTTTGAACACAGGTTTTGAACTCTGTGGCAACTCATTCCTACTTTGGATGACAGACATTGCAGGTTTAGGTTTTGGTTGAACTAAGTTTGATTCAGATTTCTTGTCAGCTCTTAATGATTTATCAAGGTCACATGCATCAGTCACTTTTCCTTCTTTCTTCATTTTTTGAAATTTGCTGAACGAGCTCACTGATGAAGTATTGGGATTATCTGTTACTTCAGCAGCAGTTGGAATTTTAAATTGTTTTCTTTTGGATGCCATAGTTTTTGTTGTAGTAGATATAATGTATTCTTTAGTTAAAGTCTGGAGCTGAAACATAAAGAATGTCTGTCTAAGATGGGTCCAATACCTCGAGAAGAACGGTCAACAGTTGTTCAATTAGTATTAGGATGACCAGGAGTTGTTTTTTTTATTGTGCTTAAACTTAGTTTCCATGCAATTTCAGGAAACCTCTACACTTTTAATACATAGAAATTGTCATTTCTGTTGCTTTCAACATTCTAATTCTAGGTATTGAGGATGTTTAGGTTTACTTCATGTTTTATTTATTATTATCATGATTATAGGGCAAACATAAATTGGCAAATGATAAGGCTGGGCAAAAATATCAATATTTCAATAGTGTTAAAAATTTTGTATTGCAAGACGTTTTTGTAATACCTATATATAAACCAGGAGAATGTTTTGACTAGAATTCTATCATTTATTAAGAAAAGTTGTCAGAAAGGTTTGTGATTAACATGATTTTAGCAAAAGATTAAGACAGAAGCTTTTGCATGGGTGTATTTCAATATATAAGTTTAATTAATTAACTTGATTCTTTTCCCTTTTGGTTACTTATCATAGTTACATGTATGTACATTCTGCATGTAAATTGAAGTTAATATAATGAGATAATGCCATTTTAATTACGATCGTTGAAAATATTGCAATACATGTCGCAATACGGTTATAAATATCGCAATACGAAATTTCTTGCCAATACCCAGCCCTAGCCAATGATAAAATAGAGTCATTCAATCATTTTTTAAGGTAGATCTTAGGGTATCCACATCAACATCAGTTGGAAAAGAGTAATATATGTTGAAAAAAAATTGTGAGCAGCAGAGCTGAGCAACCTCTGGAATTCAAGATGTCAACTGCCAAGTCAGGTGTTGTTTTTTACATACAGATACAAGATTTTTTTAAATGCTTATTTCAGTGATTTCTTTAGTTTATTTTTATTTTAATGAATGGTTTTAGACAGACATAGAAACACACACAATTCACAAAATACTCCATTCTGAAACCAAGCGCCCATGATTTTCTCATGTAATCACATCATTGGTCAAAGATTCATTGTTATTGTTTTGCTTTCAATTAATTATTAGATTTACTCAATTACTGTAATTTTTGATTCTGTGCATCATATCATGCTCCACTGTGGGCCAAACAGGTCCAGTCCAAAGACTATTTCTACCTACGTAGGTATTAATAGCTACCTAGGTATTTAAAGCTACCCAAAGTAGCTATTTTTACCTACTTTCTGCTTTACTTGCATTTTGTGGCCAAATGCAGGAACGGCGCAACATGGTGAGCACAAAATTTCTTGATACAGTCACACTGATGATGAATATGACAAAAATTTGGCCAAAAAATGAAAACTTCGCATATTATCAATTTTGCATAGAAACTAATGTAAAATTGCCGATTCAGGAAGTAATCATTTTTTGGCCAAAATTTTGTCGTATTCATCATTAGTGTGACCGTATCAAAAAATATGGTATTCACCATGTTGCGCCGTTTTGTATTTTGTTCGCAAAACCCAGAAATTATATAAAGTAGGTAGAAATAGCTACTTTTGGTAGCTTTAAATACCTAGGTAGCTATTAATAGCTACGTAGGTAGAAATAGTCTTTGGACTGGACCTGCCAAAATTGGTTGAATAAATTATTAAATATTCACTTCTATTTACGGGTGCGTCGATTTACCCAAAAGGACCCAAAAGGACCCAAAAGGAACCCAAAAGGACCCAAAAGGAATCAAAAGGAACCCAAAAGGACCCAAAAGGAAATCAGAAGGACTCGAATTAATATATTATAATACATTGAAAATTAATAATTTGAATTAAATTATGAATATTATATTATAAATTTACCTAAAAATTGGCAAAAACATACATTTATATTGTTGCAACTTTTCTTAAAGAAATAACATACGACTTTTATAACACATCAATCATTAAATCTGGTCAAATATGCTTTGATTTCTTTTAGCTGAATTTAACAAAGTGCACTGTATTATTCTATTTCTCCTTCTGTTTTATTATATCTTATTATATGATATTTGATAAATAAAGAAATAAGTTTATTTAATGACATGTTCTAGGCATATGGTATCGGGGATGGGTGGGGGTGGAGGAGGGGGGGGGGGCTCCCACCTCAACCCAAACACGCACTTTACCCTCAAAAAACTAGTTTTAGTTTTAATAAAATATGAAAGTATTCATTATATATCCATTTAATCTCTTTATTTCAAGTCCTTTTGGGTCGTTCTTAATTTCCTTTTGGGTCCTTTTGGGTTCCTTTTGGGTCCTTTTGGGTTCCTTTTGGGTCCTTTTGGGTTCTTTTGGGTCCTTTTGGGTCCTTTTGGGTAAATCGACGCACCGCTATTTACCTTTCTGAGCAACACATTATGCTTTTAAGATTTTCACTGACTGCATTCAGTAAACATGATGTCTGTTTGAGAAACAACGCTGCCATGTTGTTCCTTCCACTGGCTTCCAGTATTTCTTATTTTCTAGCAGAACTCTGAGTAGGCTCACATTTTCAAGGGCGCAGACATTTTTCTTTCTCTCGCGCATGTGCAGTGAAGGGGTGTGTTATTGCTTTTAATTTTTTCTAATTGTTACACAGTCATAATGTAAAATATACATTAAAATTTTCTCGTTTCATTAATATAGCTAATTAAGAATCATATGTTTTACATTTTAAAAGCATTTTCATTTCCATCTATGCCAAAAATAAGTGTTATTTTTGTGTAGATTAAAGGTCCCTTGATTGATCAATATTTGCTTCTCCCTCCTCAGAAAAGGAGAAGATAACTCGTACTATTGTATTCGTTTTGAAAGCGTTTCCAGCAAAGCAGTATGTCCTCGGCGCTGGAGTCTTATGTTAACCGTATCCTTTTGATTTGTTTGATTAAGTAATTTATTTATGAATCACAATTTTTCCATGATCATTATTAATGCCATTTTAAAAATGGAGTGATTGAATCCTTTATCTGTGGTTATCAGTGTTGATTCTTCACTGTGATGGTCAATACACTGAGTCCTTTCATTAGGCTTAGCCCTGGTATAGAGACAAGAGTTTAAATTTTCTCTAAACATTCAAGAACTATAAAGCTTGTATAATTCACCAGTCTTTCACTAAAATACTAGTCCAAACTGAAACAAAACAAAACATTGCTATGCTTAACATGCTTAAATTTTAATAAATTTTTGAGACATCAAAAAGAATTCAAGGCCCTTACCAAAATATTGACCTTCTGGCAACATCTTCTGGCTTTATTGCCGCAATATTGCAGCAACATTCTGGCAATACATTGCCGCAATATTGCGGCTATATCGTTTTTCGTATGTAAATTAGTTTTGCGGCAATATTGCCAGAAAGGGGTTGCGGCAATATTGCTGCAAATCATGACCCAAATATTGATCTTCTGGCAACATCTTCCGGCATTATTGCCGCAATATTGCGGCTATATCGTTTTTCGTATGTTAATTAGTTTTGCAGCAATATTGCCAGAAAAGGGTTGCGGCAATATTGCTGCAAATCATGACCAAAATATTGATCTTCTGCCAACATCTTCCGGCATTATTGCCACAATATTGCGGCTATATCGTTTTTCGTATGTAAGTTAAGATATTAATTGGTATTTAATGGAAATAATGATCTATCAATCTAACAATTAACAAACTGTGCTGAGGAATATAACAATTTAAACAATAGCAAGCCACAGGGTCAATAAGAAATAGCTACTTCTGCTATTCTTTGAACAGATAGAAAATTATATTGATCATCATAATGAAAATCAAGATATGTTTGTGAAACACTATGCGCCTTGTGGCAATAAAGTTTGAAAAAGCTATTTATAGCATATGGGTCACAGTCAAGGTCACAAGATCATTGATCTTGGTGTCATTTGAAAGAACTTAATTGAAGGGGAGTATGCATACTAAATATGAAGTCTCTATCTCTTATAGTTCAAAATTTATGGCAGAGGATCAAAATAGCTATTTCTAGCATAGGGGTCACAGTAAAGGTCAAATTGTCATTGACCTTGGTGTTACTTGAAAGAGTTTAATTAGTGAAGGGTGCATATCAAATATGAATTCTCCATCTTTTATGACTCAAAAGTTATGTCGAAGTTTCAAAAAATCTATTTTAAGTATATGGTCACAGTCAAGGTCCCAAGGTCATTGACCTTGGTGTTATTTGAAAGAGGTTAATTAATGAAGTGTGTATACATAATACAAGTTCTCTGTCTTTTATTGCTCAAGATTTATGTCCAAGATTCAAAAAATCTATTTTAAGGATGTGGGTCACAGCCAAGGTCTCAAGGTCATTCAGCTTCAGGTATTTTTTGAAAAAGCTTAATTAGTGAATTATGCATACTAAATATAAAGTCTCTATCTTTCATTAATTTTAAGTTATGACGAATATTCGAAAAAGCTATTTTTATCATATAGGTCACAGTCAAGGTCACAAGGTCATTGACCTTGATGTCATTTGAAAGAACATAATTAGTGGAGTAGACATACCAAATATGAAATCTTTATCTCTCATTGGTTCAAAAGTAATGGTGAAGGTTCAAGTTTACAAACAGACAGACAGAACAAAAACAATATGTACCCCCGATCTATCGAGACAGGTATAAAAATGTTTATAGAAACAATATTAATATGCCACTGTGAAAATGTCCAGCAACTCTGCATTTATTTTCAAATAACATGCTTTAATTCATCTTTTCCTGCTACTCTAGGATATATAGACATACAAGTCTAGTATGCATGCATCACAAGCACTAATTGAAACACATATAATTTTTCCAATTTTTATCTCCATTGAATCATTGACATCTCAAAAAGAATATTGGTTTTGACTCACCAAGTCTGATGATATGGAAACAGCTAGAGTATACATATTCCTATAATTCTGCTTAAATTCTTTTTTCTAGTCAGTCCACATAATGCAGTCTTACTACTCATCTTGACTAATCCCACTGTACACAATTAACAACTCTAATCAACTTGATACAAGTCAGTAATGAAGCAAAACATGCTTGCCTTTGAATTCCCTCCACTTTATTTAAAAAGAGGAAGTAAATGACTGAGCATGCTCAACAAATGGTTCATGGGTAATCCTAGATGTTGCCAGAAAGTTTTTTCTGGCAGTATTGCCAGAATGTCACCGGAAGTTGTTGCAGCTAGCGGTGATATTTCATTTTTTCTCACAGTATTGCCGGAATGTCACCAGAAGTTGTTGCCGCTAGCGGTGATATTTCACTAACCCAAAAAGCTTGTTTCTGGTGACAAAAATGTGTTGCCGCAATGTTGCCGCAATATAGCAGCAATATTGCTGCAATAATTTTACTTTGGTAAGGGGGGAAATAAAAAAAAAATGTTCTGAGATAACTGACGTTACATGTACATGTAAAATATACCGGAATGCCTCTAGAATGTATGAATATTTGTACAATGTGAAGACAGCAATTTACAATAAAATGTTGATGTTTCGAGAAGTCTGGTGCACTGACTAAGTGAATTATAGCAATGTCACTAATTAAAAAAAGAAGAAAACAAGTCAACTGTCATGTACACAAGCAGCTAGACATCTTTCCTTTACCATACATGTGTAACAGAAGGTTGCCCTGAAAAGTCCCGAATCAATTGACAGAAATCGATTTCAGTTTTAAGCATTTATTGATTACAACAATTTAACAAAACATTCATGATAAACAATTTAATGCTAACAGGTCAAATGGAGACCACTTTCTCTCCTAAAAATACGTCAACTGTCTTCAGTATGAAAATCAACACTGTCCATTAAAAATTACAACAGTCATATATACATATGTAGTAATAACACCATCAGGCTAACCCGGACCGGGACGTACTGTACGTGATGCACAATCAATATAACAATGAGTATTATGTTAACAATATGTTAATAGGTATATTTATGTACATAATAAATATAGACTTATGCTAATTTAATATCAGTCAATTTAATGTACACAAGTAATACTCAATTACTGGAATATTAATTATTATTAATTACAGTTAAGTGTTAAGTTTTGCATTACGTCACGATCTCTTTCAACAGATGCATCCAGCGTAAACATGATTGGTCAACTCATATTATCAACATTGACACGGAAATAGTCTGTTGCATGAGCAACCAATCAGGTATTAGGAGAAACTTCCAGTCAAAAAGGTTGCAGTTAGGAGGCGTGTACTATTTACCTTGAGCACAGCTCATAGGTTGTGATGTAAAGCAAAACTACACACTTAACTGAAATTAATCCATATTCAACTAAAGATATCAACCGTCACACATGTATGTTAATTTACTCTTTTTACACAAACATATATAAAATAAAGCAAGACCAAAGTACCTGAGGCTGAGTACTCCTGGATCTTTTACCAGGTACCATGTCAAAATATAACAGACTACTGCGTTTCAGTGTACATGTAGTTCTCACGTTGTGTATTATTGAGTAAGAATTCTGAATTATGCCCTTAACTAATTAACTAGGGACAGTTTCCATAGTAACAGCTGATGGAAGAATAATTGTAGTAAGTATATTTACCTTTTGTTTGATAATTGCATCAAATCAAAAGTAGTCCATAATTATTATAAAAAGACTGTATTCAGTGACGCATATGGAATATTACTCAATAAATAAATTTATAAAATATTAAATTCATCAAATGAAAAGATAATTAAGGTACCTCAGCTTTATCACATTTTTTTTATTAAATGTCATTTTACAAACACACATTCAGTAGTGAATAAGCTTTTCCAGCTTCAAATTTTCCAAATTCATTTTATTTACTGTTCCCGGGAGTTAAGAGTTTGATCTTGTCATATAAAAGATCTGGTCTAAAATTTGTTGTTTCTTTACAGGGAACGTTGAAAGGTTTTGATCAGACCATCAACTTAATTCTTGATGAGAGCCATGAAAGAGTTTACAGCACATCACAAGGAGTGGAGCAAGTCATACTGGGATTATACATCATCAGGGGGGATAATGTGTAAGTACATAAAAGAGGGTAAAACAAGTCAGTAATGGAATTTGGAATTTTTGAAACTTTTGGAATTTTACACCATTTTTGGAGATAATGTGTAGAAAGTAGGTCACAATGGGTGGAGCAAGTCACACTGGGATTAATCAAGGGAGATAACATGTAAGTGATTCACAGTCAATCACAGAGGGTGGAACAAGTCATACTTAGTCTGGATTGTGTAATATGTAAACACATAACGGGGGATAAGACAAGTCATACTAAGTCTGGATTGTGTAATATGTAAACACATAACGGGGGATAAGACAAGTCATACTAAGTCTGGATTGTGTAATATGTAAATACCGTATAAGCAGAATTTTTAGCGAGGATTTGATTTTGGCATTATTAGCGAGATTTCTGAGATCACTAAAATTAAATATCGTTAAAAATAAACTATGTTTAATTTGTATTAATTAGCTTCATTAGTGAGCATTTTAAAATCACTAAAATTACTTCTCGCTAAAATTAAATTACCATATTTTAAGGACAAACCGCTAAATTTGCATCTCGCTAAAATTTTCACTTATACGGTACATCACAGAGGGTGGAACAAGTCATACACTGGGATTGTACATCATCTGGGCAGTTATGTGAATTAAAGTCATTTTACATTTTCAACTTGCCATTGCAGTAAGGCCCTGTGTGTCCATCTTAAGCGTTAAGTTCAAAATCAAGAGAGATGAATTGGAATTAGAAGAAAGGCATACAATTTTCTTTAGATATTTAAATATCTGCTTAAAATTAAATATTGATATTTTATTTATCGGTTTCCTTACATTTACATTGAAACAAATATAAATCTTCTATCTATAGCTGTATCAAATTGTTACTGGCTAACTTGTATTTTGGAATATTATACTCTGTAATAGAAAAAGAGAGAGAATCCTATGTGTTCAATATGCTTCGTTTTCTCTTGACAGAGCTGTGATAGGAGAAATTGATGATGACACAGACAATGGATTAGACTTCAACAGCATCAAGGCAGAACCACTCAATGCCGTGACACACTGAAGACAAGAGTCCCCACATCATTTAAATCATGCATTGCCGTACCAAACATTTGAGCCTTTGGCAACCTGAAGGCTTATTATTCCATCATCACTCATAATCTTCATCTTTTTTTTTTCATCATTTTAATATCAGAGAGGAACATTCCCATGCAGTACTGTTCAAAGAATTATTTTTTAATGTTTAATTATAACTGTGTACAAGGGACATGAAAAAGAATTTCTTCATTTGAATAATTTCTAATAACATGGTTGATGTTAAAATTTAGATTTAATTAAATGGTAATCTAGAATATGAGAACTTACTTTTATGTACATGATGATGAAAATGATAACATTTATCTGACATTTTTACATCAATTAATTGTTTGTGGATTCCAAAAGATAAATTTAAATCATTAAGTGTGAAGTCATCAACATTTTTCATATTATACATGTATGGTTGATAGAAAGTATATATTTGATGGAAAGTTACATGTATCTTTTTTTAAAATGTTTTTTAGTTGTACATTATTATATATGAATGAGGAGTAAGTCCCAGCCATTATCCAAGCATTGGGCTTGTATTGAAAGTTGAAAATATATGTTCTCTTAATATTTTGTAGAAATAAAATGATATGAATGAAGATGTATGAGCCAGAGTAATCAGTATTTAGCTACATGTCTGATATAGACATTGTTTTTATTTTCCTTTGGTTAAAGTAAAAATATTTCTGGGAGTGTTAGACTAATGCTGTGATATTTCAATGTGTGTGGTACTGGTGGGTAAGATTGAAACCTTGTAATTATAGCACAGCCTGTGTACTCGTTTCTTCTATAAAGTCTTATTGAAGGATTTTAGATATATAAGTAAATTTTTTCAATTAAAACTACAAAATAACTTAAAAAGCCAAACTACCTCAAGAACTAGTGAAGACTAGAGAGATTATGTGGAAAAATTTGAATTAACAGATACAGATAGAATTATATTTTTTTTGCATTCCTGTAATTAAATAAAAAAGACCTGTGCTCTCAGGCATTACATTCACCTTTCTTCCAAAATTGTTAGCTCACCTGAGCCGAAGGCTCAAGTGAGCTTTTCTGATCACATTTTGTCCGTCATCCGTCCGTCTGTCCGTCTGTCTGTCCGTCTGTAAACTTTTCACATTTTCGACTTCTTCTCAAGAACCACTGGGCCAATTTTGACCAAACTTGGTACAAAGCATCCTTGGGTAAAGGGGAATTTAAATTGTTAAAATGAAGGGACATATCCCCTCGCAAGGGGAGATAATCAAGAAAAGACAAAAATAGGGTGGGGTCATTAAAAAATCTTCTTCTCAAGAACCACTGGGCCAGAAAAGCTGAAACTTATGTTGAAGCATCCTGGGGTAGTGTAGATTCTAAATTGTTCAAATCATGACCCCCGGGGGAAGGGCGGGGCCACAATGGGGAATCAAAGTTTTACATAGAAATATATAGGAAAAATCTTTGAAAATCTTCTTCTCAAGAACCACTTGGCCAGAAAAGCTGAAACTTATATGGAAGCATCCTGGTATAGTGTAGATTCTAAATTGTTCAAATCATGAACCCCGGGGGAAGGGCGGGGCCACAATGGGGAATCAAAGTTTTACATAGAAATTTATAGGAAAAATCTTTGAAAATCTTCTTCTCAAGAACCACTGGGCCAGAAAAGCTGAAACTTATGTGGAAGCATCCTGATATAATGTAGATTCTAAATTGTTCAAATAAAGACCCCCGGGGGATGGGTGGGGCCACAATGGGGAATCAAAGTTTTATATAGAAATATATAGGAAAAATCTTTGAAAATCTTCTTCTCAAGAACCACTGGGCCAGAAAAGCTAAAACTTATATGGAAGCATCCTGGTACAGTGTAGATTCTAAATTGTTCAAATCATGACCCCCGGGGGAAGGGCGGGGCCACAATGGGGAATCAAAGTTTTACATAGAAATTTATAGGAAAAATCTTTGAAAATCTTCTTCTCAAGAACCACTGGGCCAGAAAAGCTGAAACTTATATGGAAGCATCCTGATATAATGTAGATTCTAAATTGTTCAAATCATGACCCCCGGGGGAAGAGCGGGGCCACAATGGGGAATCAAAGTTTTACATAGAAATATATAGGAAAAATCTTTGAAAATCTTCTTCTCAAGAACCACAGGGCCAGAAAAGCTGAAACTTATGTGGAAGCATCCTGATATAATGTAGATTCTAAATTGTTCAAATAATGACCCCCGGGGGATGGGTGGGGCCATAATGGGGAATCAAAGTTTTATATAGAAATATATAGGAAAAATCTTTGAAAATCTTCTTCTCAAGAACCACTGGGCCAGAAAAGCTGAAACTTATGTGGAAGCATCCTGGTATAATGTAGATTCTAAATTGTTCAAATCATGACCCCCAGGGGAAGGGCGGGGCCACAATGGGGAATCAAAGTTTTACATTGAAATATATAGGAAAAATCTTTGAAAATCTTCTTCTCAAGAACCACTGGGCCAGAAAAGCTGAAACTTATGTGGAAGCATCCTGATATAATGTAGATTCTAAATTGTTCAAATAATGACCCCCGGGGGATGGGTGGGGCCATAATGGGGAATCAAAGTTTTATATAGAAATATATAGGAAAAATCTTTGAAAATCTTCTTCTCAAGAACCACTGGGCCAGAAAAGCTGAAACTTATGTGGAAGCATTCTGGGGTAGTGTTAATTCTAAATTGTAGGAATCATGACCCCCGTCGAAGGGCGGGGCCATTATAGGGAATCAAAGTTTTACATAGAAATATATAGGAAAAAACTTTGAAAATCTTCTTCTCAGGAACCACTGGGCCAAAAAAGCTGAAACATATGTGCCCATGGAAGGATCATGGGGTAGTGTAGATTTCAAAATGTCTAAATTATGATCAGTGGGGTAGGGTGGGGATGCATTATGTATAACAAGGGTGAAATCTGGTAAAGAACAGAATGGTCAAAGCTTCTCAGGTGAGCGATGTGGCCCATGGGCCTCTTGTTTTTATATGCCCGTCTTAAGACGGGACGTATTATGTTATGGGCTTCGTGTCCGTCCGTCTGTCTGTCTGTTAGCTTTTCTTGTGTCCGGCTCATAACTTTAATACTATAAGGCCTAGAGTTATCAAACTTTTTCAGCTGATACATCTTGGGTAGAAGGTGTGTCGCGTACAAAAAGTAGGTCACTCTGACCTTTAGTAAAGATGCTATAGCCAAATATGGAAAAATCCTGTCCGGCTCATAACTAGAAAACTTTGAGACCTAGAGCTTTCAAACTTGGCAAAAGTATACAGCTAAAGTAGAAGGTGTGTCGCGGCCTATTTCAAGGTCACTGTGACCTTTAATTTAAGTGATTTTTTTTAAAAAACTAAGTATTTTAAATTTTAAATTTCATAATCCTAAAAAATGTAAAAATATGGTTGTATCCTTATTAAAAAATGTTAAATTAAGTAAAAACTTATTTTTTCATTATATACTTTAACAGCAATCTGTAACAAATGTTTATGCTTTGAGAGGAATTCAGTTTGTCCCATGGGCATAATTATCAAGCACTGGTCAAGAAGAATTTTGATAGCAGAAACTTGCATGTCAAATTAGAGAGAAATTAATGAGTTTATTGTCAGGAGCTAAGAGCATCTCTAGATCTGATGCAGCTGTTATCTTAATTTATCTCTTGGGAGTTGGGCAAAAAGAAATGGCCTCATAGTTGCTTGTGTTATTTAAGAGTTCTTGATGGCTAGTCCAGATAAAGATCTTCCAACTGGTGTAATGTAATTAAAACAAATTTATGTTTTAGTGTATGATTAAAACTAAATTAGTATTGTATAATATAATTAAAACTAATTATACGTGTATTCATAGGAAAAAAAATATATTTCAATTTTTATATATTTGCAACAAATTGCAGTCATGTCTCACGTAGAATTTTATAGTCTGAAGAAATTATAATTTATGTTTGATTTTTTTTATTAAACTGTAGCATTTCTATTATTACATAAAATATGCAATAAACAATTTAAGTTTAAGTAAGCTGCAGATGGATATTTGTTATGCTCTAACACAACCAGTTTTGAGTTATATGATGATTTGTTATAATCAATCCCTACACTGCTAGTCTCTTAGAGATGTATGATAAGAAATGGAAATTAGATCATTGAAATCTGTGTCAATCTGTTAATCAAGGCTACCTGATTTTCTTGCATCCTAACCAATTTATGATTATTGAACAATATTTGACGGGCGTATCATGCTGTGGCGGGGCACTTTATTTAGTAGCATAGTGTCCTCTGTACTAAATTCATACTGAGTACAAAGCCAACAATTTAATGGAAAATTCTGCTCAGTTAATACGTTAGACCTTAATCAAGAGCATATAAACATTACTGAAAATATTATTGTTAGAGAAAAATACACACAAAAAAGGTACCACGCAGGATTTCTCTTTAAAAAAAAAACAAAAGAAACAACACTTTGTTATATAAAAGGAAATGCGATAAGCACGATGAGCCGATAAATATATTTTAAGGGGGGGGGGGGTAGATAAATGGGGCAAATGAAATGGTGAAAATTGGCACCTGCCAAAATGGATACATTACTTTTCTACAATTATTACAAAGAATTTCTTAAAGGGTACACCATTTCTCTGAATAACTCCTCTTGACCTCCTACATGTAAGGGACCTATATTTCTCAAACTATTCAATTTTGCCATCAAAGTCACATGTATAGAAATGTGCAGTACTTTTTTTTATTATACAGGATTGCAGGGAATGACCTATTTTGTAGTGGTTAAAACCGGGGTATACATTCAGCAGCGTTCCAATAGAAGGGACCAGGAAAAAAATCCACTCACCTTTAAAAAGTGAGTTGCCAAAAGAAAAGAAAAACTGTCTCCAAATCACAGGTACTGTGGACAGGACCCCCTCCCCCTTGGATTAAAGTTTTTTTTTCTCATGAATTATGTTTCTAGTACTTATTTACAACGTATTCCATATGAAAAATCAAAAAAAAAAAAATAGATTTAACGACTTACTAAAAAAAAGTCATACCCCTGGTATTATGATATACTCTATTTTATAAGATGAGATAGATAAGATTTTATTATTACCAATTTGGGGCCCATCAGGGCATAAAAGTAATGAGAAAAACATACAAGAAGAAATTCAAAATTGATAGTAGCAACTAACAAAAGATTAATGATGATACAGCAGTCGGGGATTACAACATATATAATTGACATACTTTACATATTTTATAATACCAGAGGTAATGGGGGGGGGGGTCCTGTCCACAAGTACCTGTGCTCCAAATTCGAAAATCCTATTTTGTGTGTAGATGTTTTGCTTCTTTCTTTATTTTCAACCTTTTTTTTTAATACACAACACCAACATGTAACATGCATGCATGGTCGTAGAAACCGGGGGGGGGGGGGGGGGCAAGTGGGGGTTTAATTTTGCCTATTTCAAATTGGAATTCAATGACAAAACAAATTGCCTAAGTTTCTTTTGAATGGTCAATTTGCAAGACATTACAATGTGTTGCATTGTATTGCAGCAGAGTGCAATATCATTCAGTGATACTATTATTTAAACAAGCACAATGTCTTGACTTGTTGGTATTATCACC